ATAAAATGGAATACTACTCAGCCATAAAGAATGAGAAATTAGAGACATTTATAGCTAAATGGATGCACATTGAGGCAATATTCTTAAGTGAAATAAATAGGACACACATGTGTAAATACCAAATAGTTTCTTTGGTATGAGAAACTGAAAGTGTAAATAAGGATTAAAATGAAAAATTGATAATGTGAAATAGGAAGAAAAGGTCCAAAGGGGTAGGTGAAGTGGGAGGGGAAGGGGAAAGGAAAGAAGGGAAAGGAAAAATTATGAGATAAGAAATAAATGGAAACAAAATCTTTGCAAATAGGGAGGGGTGGAGGGGTTGAAGGGAAGGTAAGGGAACGGGGAAAAAATAAGAACCAAGATACATCATGTAACGGTACAAGTTCCCAATGTGAATGCAAATGTATACCTAAAATGTACCAATAAAAGAATTTAAGAGGAAAAAAGATAAGGTCAGCAAGATGGAGCCCCCATGGGTGACTTGGATGGCTTCATAGGAGGGAGTTTCACACACCCCCCCCCACGTGCGCTCACTCCATCCTTTCGCCATCCAATGCCCTGTGCCTCCCCGGGGCTCTGTTGGGAAGGAAGCCATCACCAGATGCCTTGACCTTGGACAGAGCTTCGAGCCAAGTCAACCTCTTGTCCTTGTAATTTACCTGGCATGTGGGACTGGCACCGGCCTCCCACACCTGTCCCTGATGTTGCCATTCCTGGCTGCGGCAGATGGGCCTGTTGGCTTGGAGCTGTGTGGAGGACATCCGGGAGAAGGACTGCCTCCTGCTTCTACCTGGCCACATCCCACTCTGGCCCTTCAAGTCTCTTGGGGACCAGGGAGTCCTCGACTCTGCTCCCGTGTGAGATTGGGGCCAGGGGGAGTCTTCCCGTGTGCCCTGTAGCTGGCCCTCTCTGAAGGGTTAAAGTGTGGGCCGCGCTAGCTGCACCCACAGTGCAGCCCTTGTCACCAAAACGCTGGGAACCAGGTGATTTCCCAGGCTCCTGGCCAGGAGGTGGGATTTTCCATCCCCCAAGGCCACTTCCCAGTTTCCCGTTCCCCTGGCCTAGAAGGTTCTCTGCAGTTCTTTAGCTCCTGCATGGAGGGATCAGGGTGGGGTGGGCTGTGGGGACAGAACAGCCTCCTGCCTCCCTGCCTGCCCCACCTCTACAGAATGTCCCGTTAAGGGCCAGAGGACTCCGCTGTGGCCACAGAGGGCCACCCCTGGCATTTGGCTGGCACTCGAAGGGGAAGGGAGCAGAGGGCAGCTAGAGGGAAGTCAGGGATGAGGTCCTCCAGGGAGCCAGCCCTTTGGGGCCCCCCACTGCTTCCCCCTGCAGCCTGTGAGGAACTCAGGAAGGACAGGGCTCACTCTGAAGGTGAACGGTTAACATAAGTGGACAAACAGAGCAGTAAGCACAGCCAATGTTTCTGCCATGCTCGGACATTACGGGTACGCGTGCTCTGTGAGCCCACACAGGACCCACACTTTATTGCATGCATAGGGACTCCCTGGAGGCGCAGAGGAGAGTCAGCTACCAAGTTAGTGCCCTACCCCATGGGAGGTGGGAGCTGAGGCAGGGCAAGAGCAGAGCGCCCGCCCCTGGCAGCCACAAGCCGTAGGAGTCTGTCCCCAGGGCCCACTCTCTTGCCCTTCACTGGACAGGGGGCAGGAGGTGGAGGGGTCACTCGGGGCTTCGGGAGATGCTGGAGGTACCTAGATTTGAGCACCCCGCGGCCGAGGGAGGGGCGTGTCCTCGGCCCGCCCCGCCCCGCCGCCTGTCTTCCCCTCAGTCCGCACTGGCTTTCGCTTTCAGTCGCCGGCTCGCGAGTTTGGGACGCAGACGAGGCTCTGGGTCGCAGGGCGAAGGTCGCGGGCCGGACCGCGCTCGGCCCCGCTCCCCATGGCGCCCGCAGCGCTGTGGGCCGCGCTTGCCGTCGGACTGCAGCTCTGGGCGGCGGGGTTCGCCGTGCCCGCCCAGGTGGGTGACTCGCCCGCTCGGTGACAGCCTCCGTCCCGGCTGGCTTGCGTTCCCGGGGCACCGTGACTGGGGGCCGAGGGGCGGGGGGCACCGAACGGACAGCCGGTGTGCCGTAGGCGCGCGCCTGGGACGCAGGGCTGGCACATGTGCGTGCCGAGGGGGTCCGGGTCGGCGTCCCGCCTTCCAGGACGCACCCGGCTCCTCAGGGTCGCGGGCCGGGCGTGGGCGTTTGGAGCCGAGCCCCGGCAGCCCGGGACCCGTCCTCCTCGGATCCTGCCTCCGCAGCGACCGCCGTGTCGGGGCGCTCTCACTGCCCACGAGGGCAATGCCTTCAGGAGGCTTTCTCCTGCCCCGCGCTCGGGCTTTCCTTTTTCTTAGAAACGCGGCAGCTGTGGAGAGCACAGGTCTGAGTGGAGACTTCTCAGCAGGGCGCAGCTGGGCAGGGAGCTGCCTCCTTTGCCCCTGGCCCGCTCCTACCCAGGACCCTCCCCGCGTGTCTCGTGTGTTTCTCAGTCTGTTTTATGGGTGCCAGGGACAGGGGAGGGCCAGGAGGCCTTGGGGCTCTCAAGGACAGGCGAGCTCTCCTGGGAAGCTCTGGAAAATGGGGAGAGCAGAGACCCCCAACACTGGATGTTCACGTTGCCAACCACCGTGGCAAAGTTGCATCTACAAAGGGCTAATGGGTCACCATGGTCTGCTAGACAGGAGCCCAGTTTCACAGAGAAGGAAAACTGAGGCCTGCAAAACTGGGTTTTTGTGTTAGGGTGTGGGGGAAACACTTCTAAGGGATCTCCTCTCCTTCCCCTGGCTTCATGGGATGGTTTGCTGGCACCTCTGGGCATCTTGCTGGGGAGGAGGTGGGAGATAACATTGCCTCTTAGGGCCGGGGATTTAGCTTAGTGGTTCCACTGCCTGCCTTGCAAGCGCAGGGACCCGAGTTCGATCCCCAGTACCAAAAAGAAAAAAAAAAAAGACTTCTAAACATTGCCTCCTGTGGTGATCTGAGGTGACTCAATGCTCCAAGGCCCAAGAGTCCAGATCTGGAGGAAGGAGGCTGTCAGGCTAGAACTGACTTGTCCATGCTGGTGCCAGGAGTGGGTCCTGGGGGCTGCCCCCGGGGAAGCCCAGGAGCAGACTCTGAGGGCTGTGTGTGCCCGTGGATGGCTGTGGTCGCCAGCCTGACAGTGGGCCATGCCGGCCTGGGAAGGGGAGGGAGAGGGGAGGGGGGGAGGCTGGGGCTGAGGTCAGGCCAGCCTGGGTGAGCCCTGGCTGTATGTGAGTCCCCGCAGGGGGAGGCCAACTGGCACAGGGCTCTACAGGACACTGGGGCTCTCCCGAAGGTGCTGAGGGGTTCCCTGCCACCTCCTTCCTGTCCTGACCAGCCCTGGTCAGTTGGTCTCTCATTCCTGGCTCCAGGGGCTGTGGCCAGAGACTCCCAGCTGGGCTCCTGCCCCTGTGCCCGCTCCCACAGTTCCTCCTTGGCAGAGAACCCCTTCTCAGGCCTTGAGACCTCTCTTCTTCCTGTTTGCGCCTGTGTGGTAGCTGCTCTGGCCCCGCCCACACATGCCCCATGCCCAGTGAAAGTCATGACCGGGTGGTCATTGTGGATACGTGTGCCCTGCCTTTGCCCACGCTGTGCCCTCTGCAGGTCCACTCTAATCCTGTCCTTCCAGGCCTTTTGCAGATCCCTCCCGCCTCAGGAAAGCCTGTCCCCATTCTCCCACTTGGGTTTGATCTGCTCTTTGTCCTTTCCAGGATGGCTTAGGTGCTGTTTTTTAATCTGGTTGTGTTTTAGCCACCTCAGTGCATGGAAGGGTCCTTGAGGGCGGGGACCATGGGTTCCTCTGCTGGGCTCCACAACAACTGCTTTTTGGCCACCGACGAGTCGAGTCAGGCACTGTGCTAGGTACTTTGCGGCCAAATCACACGGAAACCTCCCTTCTAGTGGCTCCTAAAAGGTGGGCGGAGCTCTTCCCGTTGAACAAGTGGAAATAGGTCAGAGAGCCTGTGGCATTTCCTGGGATCGCTGGGCTGGGGGAAATGCAGGTCCCCCTGACCATTTGAATGCAGGTCAGCTGGCCTCTGGAACCTCTTTTCACCAGACCCTCCTGTGCCTGTGTCCCCACTACTGTCCCCATAGCTTCCTCCCACTCGGCAAGCTTGGCAGTAACTCACACGGAGTTGCAGAAAAAGGCCCAAGGAGACCTGAGCTGGTCGCGGGGTGGGGGTGCAGACTGACCGTGCTGTCTCCACTTCACCCTTTAATAGCCGTGTTTGCCAGCTGGCGTGGAATGCACCAGCCATCCAGTCAGTCACTAATTCATTTCTAAACCAGTCGGGGAAGCTGACAGGATGGGTGAGCGCTCGGTGCCCTTGGATGGGCAGCAGTGAGAGGGATGTCCACCATCAGGGTCGTGACTACCTGCCCTCTGGAAGTGTGTTCGCCTCCTCATCAGGTCAGGGAAGAGCCCAGGGGCTCCGAGGCTGGCTGTCGGGGTGCAGTCAGGTAAGGTGGGCTACCTGCTGGCCCCGGGGCCTCTTCCTTCCTTCTGCTCTCTCTGTGTCCCTTTGTCCCTGCCTGACATCCCCAGGGGCACCTGTGTGCTGACTGAGGCTGTGGCCCTTGGTGTAGGCAGCCTCATTCCGTGCCGTTCACTCCCGTCCCCCACCTCCTCTGCTCCCAGCTTGGTGCCCAGCTCTGGGGCCCAGCTCCACTTCTCCCCGAGCCACACTTCCGGGGGTCACAAGCACTCAGACCGTAGCCCTGGGCCAAGCTAGTGAGCCCAGCTAGTGAGCCCCTGTTTTCTTATCTGTTGATGTGCAGAGAGAACCAGCCTGGCATTCTTGTGTCAGGGTGGCCCCATCCCCAGAGCACTGTTCCTCTCCAGGGCTGGGTGACTCCTTCTGTCCCTCCCCATCCAATGCTTCCTACAGGAGTAGTCAGGATGGTGGTTCTGGGAGGGGAATGGTGTCTAGCATCGTGCGTGTTACATTCAGTGCTACTCTGCGTGTCACCTCAGTCCTCACTCTTATGCCTGGCTGGCCGCTTTTCTGTCCCTCACACATGCTGTGTGTGCATACGTACACACACATGTATACGCACACAGGTCTCAGGGCCTTTGCACTTGCTTTTTCTTGTGGCTTCAGTGCTATACCACTGACATCTTCTGGCTTCATTTCCCCATTTCCTCCTGTTCAGATGGACTCTCCTGCCTCTGAGAGCTCCCTGATGGGGTTCGTCCTCCACCTGACACTCCCGGCCTATGTGTATTTCTCTCGCTGTGATGGTGTCTTCTCACTTGAGTGCAGGGGGAGTGAGGGCAGGGACTGGCTCACAGCTGCAGACCTGGAACAGGGCTCCAGTCTGCACCACTGGCATCCGGGCCAGTCCTTCTGTACTGTGGGCTGTTCCGTGTGTTGCAGGGGGCTCAGCGGTGTCCTGGCCTCTACGCACCAGATGCTGATAGCACCCACTTTGGTTACCACAATCTAGAATGTCTTCAGATGCTGCCAAATGTCCCCATCCTGAATGGAGGGGAGGGCAAGAGCCCCTGGCTGAGAACTACCGGCCTAGGACAAGTATGCAAAACCTTTTGATACTGTCACAGATAACCCAGCTGACCTTTATCGTGACCCTGTGTGACATGACATGGGAGGGTTTGACAAGGCAGCGGGGAGGGCTGGGTTCTACTCTGTGTCCCTCTCCTAGTGTCCTCACCCTAGTGGGCTCACACCCTCCCCGTTCCCACCCTGGGAGGGTCTCGGGCTGCAGGGGCCATGTGACTGGCATGGAAGCAGGCAGAGGGGGAAGTAGGGGGCTGGGGAGGGAGAGGTGGTGCGGGGTGACCAGGAGCCAAGTGGAGATGCTGTGGCTCCTACTTCCCACACACTCAGTGGGCAGGGGACAGCACCGATGACCTTTGGGAGGCTCAGGCCTCAGAGTCAGACGGGCCTTAGCTCGAAGGCTTCCTCAGTGTGGCCTTGGAGAGGCTTTCCCTGCTGGGAGCCTCTGTGTGCTCATCTGTGGATGGAAACAGCCCTACCTCAGTGCCTCTTGTCTCTTGAGGCTGAGGAGGGTACATCTGATAAAGGGCAGAGGCACAAGGCCTCAGCTTGGCCACCTGTGAGAGGGTGCAGGTGGGTTCTCTAAACCTCTCCTAAGGCTCAGACGTGGGAAGTCCTGTTTCCTTGTGACCCCTGGAGGGGTCTTCTTCAGCTCTTCTGAACTCCTGCTGTCCCTCCTTCACCTCCACGTAGCTTCCAGGACAGCTCACTGGTGGAAGGAGCCCTGGACGTAAGGAGAGCTCCTGCCTGGCTTGCTGTGTGACCTCACTCATCCGCAGCCTGGCTGGGCCCGAGCCCCCCTCAGGTGGTAACCCTAACAGCTCTGGCCCCAGCGCTGACCCCGAAAACCACGAAAGTGTCAACTTTGAGTGTGTTTGACAAGGCCCCAGATCTGGAGTGGGGCTTACAAGTTTCCCAGGAAGGGGAGCCCCGAACTCCCCACTTCATCTCTGCTCCCAGCCTCTCTTCTTCTACATTGCAGCCCCACTTGCTTTGGCTGGAATGATTTCTTTGATTTGCGCCCTAGTGTCTCCCATGATTCGAGGTGCTTGTCTACGGCCACATGACCCTGAATGGGCCTGAGCTCATCAGAATTCGGGGTGGCCACTGGCTTGCATGAAGCCCCAGGGCAGAAGCCCTAGGCAGGGCTGGGGTGCCTGTTCCCTGCCTCTCGGCCCCTTCCTGCTTCATTAGCACCTTTTATAAATCTACTGCCAGGCCCTGCTTCCCCAGTGCTGGGAAAGTGTGCGCTGTCTGGGAAGCCCTGCCTGGGGCTGCGTTTTCCTTGAAGAACACCCTCTGTCACCCGTAAGGGGCACCCAGCCCTGGGCCCTCGCTCTGAGTTCTGCCTCCTCCTCCTCCTCCTCAGTGCAGAGCCTTGGGCTTCCGGGGGCGGGGGGGCTGTGGTCTTTTTCCACTGCGTCTCGCTGTGATGT